TGGTAAAGGAAGTGGTTTAGCTGAATGAAATTATGTTTCAGGTAGTTTTATGTACACAGGCTTTAATAAATTCTTTTTTGGCCAATGAAGCTTCTTCAGATTTGTAGAAAATTTTACCTGTATTGTTGAACATTGTCTTTAGAGTACCAGTATATTTTGCACAAAAGTTTGTACCTTGAGGTTGAAGGAAATAGTTTCAGTAGCAGCAAATATTGTCCCATGTTGTCAAACACATCATATCTTTAGTAACTTGACATAAAATTGCCTAATAACTTAACAGTGTTTTTATTTATAAAAAAATAGAAGGATTGCATTGTTGCAATTAAGTATGCATCAAAATATGTCATATATATTTTGGGCAAGTGAAAAGTTGGTTCGGGCAAGTGAAAATGACCATGACCCGATAGGGCAAGTGGATTTTTGTTCGAGAATAACAGTAGAAGCTCATAACAGAACATTGTTGTTCGAGAATAACAGTAGAAGCTCTGAGCCTGAAGACATGTAAAGGTGGCATTCTTTATTAAAACGTTGTTTGAGAGCTTTTGTTCTTTACATTACTTTATTTTATAACATAAAACTTAAGTAGTTAACTAGAAGAAAACGTAATAGATAAAAGTAGCAGATTTGAAGAAAATGATAACTTGGAAGTGTTGCCACTTGAATACTGATGGCGCCACCTGGCTTTTGACTCAGGTGGCAACATGCGCCACCTGGCTGAAAAAAGTATTTCGAGCCCTGATTAACGTGGTGTTGATCAAACTCTTTCAGCTCTTTATCCAGTGAAACAGAATCTGATGGTTCTGCATGTATTCTCGGAAACTCAAAATAAAATTCAATTTTGCTAAAACTCATATCCTTCAAGCTCATAGATACAATGAAAATGTACTTGACGACTTAAGATAGTATTCTAGGATGCAGAGTTCAGTCCTTTTTACTGACAGTAGGCTGAAAGTCCTCACATTTTTAATCAAAATAACACATAAACATGGGCCTAGTGGTGATGTACAAATGTCAATGAGAGACAGCCAGGGTTCTGCAACCATATCAGATCATAGGGAAAGTTCTCTTACTCCAAGTATCCAAGCAAACAATTATTACAGAAAAATGTATAAAACTTTGACATTTGTATCAGATTTACTTCAAAATCATTTGACTTTCCTCTAGATTCTCCTTATCAAAAACCTGACACTGTGTTTTTATTGGCTCCTTTGTTTCAAACTGCACCTGCTCCCCACCCTATTTCTCAGAATAGTTGTCAGACATAACCATACTTCTCTGTATGCTGAGTGGGTTCCTGCTCTATCCCTTGGGCTCTGCCTGCTACTCGATATAAAGACATGTATGTATCATATTCAAGAGTAGGATTATGTTTTTTCTCTGCCAATTACTACAGCCTCTTAACTGTAACATGCACAACTTGTCACATTACTGTAATTGGCATAACTGTAATGAAAATACCGTTGAGCTCAATACAAAAACACTTAAAACAAATTGATCCGACAGCAGGTATACTCGATAATACCGGGCAGAAAGCCTTTCATATGGGAGCCCACTCAAGGGTCAGAGCTAAACAAGCACTTCAGGGTGGACATAAAAGATACCGTATGAGCTTCTTGGTCTGCTGTTTGCGTCACTTTGTGCGTCAGTGGGGAAGATAAACTTTACCCACGTACGTCAGCAACTCACATCATCCCTGCTCCGTTGAACGATGGAAGGGAGAGATAGTTGATGGTATTAATAGTTCCTCTCTGTTCTGACAATCATACATGTGTGTACATGTACAGTTCAGGCAGTTATATGATAATAGGACAGGTCGCGGGGAGAGAGAAAGTGACCAATGGGCTCTGAAGTGTGCTTGACAGATTACTGAGGATGTTAGAACAAATTATTTTCCCAATAGACTGTGACGGAACCTTTGTGAGTTTGGGTGGTGCGGAACCAGATTTGGGATTCGAATTGGAAGCTTGTACTTTACGCTTGGATATCGGTACATATATAAATTAAGACACCACCCAGATATTGTTAGTCGTTACTGTCACATTTGCATCCAGCGCTGGCCACAATAAGGTAATGAAAAGGTTTATTGCAAACCTTCAATTTTTGGTGTCAAACAAATTTTTGAACTCTATTAAGAGTCCTACTTTTAATAATGTGTCAGCACATGGTAAAATGGTCTTACAGTCACTAAAGTGGCACCAAATATTAATGGCCTTATCAAACTGATCTTTAACGGATTTTAAAATCCATATGACATCATGGCCGGTAAGCAAGAGATTACTGTCTTAAAAACATGCCATCAATGTGGGCATGTAAAACGTATATTTCAAATTGATGCCTGTTCATGTTTTTAACTGCTTATGCAAAATACTGCTCCAGCTCCATTGTATGTTCAGATTGATGCTAAATTTACCTGGTAGAGCATTAAGTTTGTGACACAGGCTGGATTTAGACAGTGATTAGATTATTTCTGACAACGTGACAGGAATCTAACTACGTCATACACAGGGTGTTTTAGTATAGGGACACCCCTACATGTACGTCTAGTACAGTATTAAAGAGGGCTGTTGGAACAAAGGTTGAGTTGTTGGAACATAAGAGTGTTAGAACATAGGGATGTAACCACTATGCTGATGGGTAGAGTGAAACATTGTTTTCTCAGTACATTAGAGAATAAAGAACAGTTCTAAGAAATAACAAGAGGGATGGTGTGCTATCACTCATGAACACAGCATTGTGAACTTGTGTATACACATACTTTAAAGGGACTCACAACATTGCACTCTACAAAATTGGATGGCAAAAGAAGCTGGCAGCATTGCAAATTAAAAAGGTATTATTTCCCAACTTAGCTGAGCAAATAGATTTAAGAAAATATGCCACTAACATAACAGAAAGACGTGGGGTTAAATTAGTTCACTATGTTTCACTAGTAAAAAAAAAGTAGGTTATCCTATCTAAACCATTGCCACCTTTATCATACCCCATGCAAAGTATACGTTAATCAACATAGCCTGTGGTTCAGTCCATAGTAAGCTGTCTGAAAAGCCCTTGAC